TAAAGGAATGTAGGTCAAGGCTAAAGGAATCTGGGTTTTGGCTAAAAGGTTGGGGTTTTGGCTAAAGCTTGATAGGAAAAGGTGTAGTTACTTTCTGCTATTCTAGTCATGTGGCGAGTGATTTTCAATCAAATAGATGCCTACCCAATTCGCTTCTCGATGTAACCAAGCAAATGGTTCCCCGAAGAACCTTTTCTCTTTCACGCAGACCCGTGATAAGTAACCAACTGCGTAGAACGAGTGTGTGCGTGCGTGGCAAATCAACTACCAATTCTGAGAAGACCTATTATTCGTGTTATGACAACCAGTTATTTCAAACCACGATAACCTGTCCAAACTAAACGATCCGTTTTTGTGAAGCTAATATGCACAGCACAATAAATTGAAAACTGTCGCCCATACGACGACTAGCAGAATTAATTGGCTAACAACCGAGCGTTACACTAAGTAGAAAGATGATTCTATTATTACTCAATCCGAAGAGGTTGCGCGATTCGCTATAAGTAAAGCAAATGCAGTGATCGACGAAAGTTGTAGCAATGAAAATAGATTACACTGGCTGGGACATGTGCTACGCGAGTCATCACATCGCTTGCCACGGCGAGCGATGTTTGCCGAAGCAGGTATCAGTTGGAAAAAGATCAAGGGCGGTCAAACCAAGACCTGACATGAAGGAATGAAAACCCTGACCAGGAGATTGGCTCACATAGGTCCCGTTAGGCTCGCTGGCTGGAGACCTCGAGATCATGGTCACCGATGGTTAGAGACACTGAGCAATATGGCTGGGTGTCACAAATAGTGGCGCTCATGCATCAACTCATTTTCCTTGTAACATTAGTCTATATGATTTCTCTATCTTTCGCTTGAATTTTCAACTCGAATAATCATTATGCTTTTTTATCCAAATGGGCTTCCAGAAGACAGCAAGCAAGACCGGCGCACAAGTGCATGGTTAATGGTTGTAAGAACTGAAGTGAACTGAGTTTGAGAAGTGATAATCTACAGGGAAAATGTGTATCAGTCGCAGTCGACAATAAGCTTATCGACCAAGAGTGTTGGTTGTGTTGTTGAGTGCAGATTCAGATACACTTTACGATACGATTTTGAAAGTTATGTGGCCATGTCCGGCATGCGCCTCAAAGTGTAAAATGACGGAATGGGATTCACAAGGCACCATATCCAGTATCGCTCTAACCAGGATGATAACAGTTGGACAACGCCATCTATTTTCGTGGAAGAGTCTCTGAGTATTCGTTCAGCGTTCGTAAACTCCGGTGCTAGCGTGATACCAAGTTGTGCCTGACTTGTCGCGGTATGCTACAACTGTCGTAAAATGGCACATAAACATG